TGATGTATTCACTAGGTGTGACCATCCGACTGATTCCAGAATATTCTTATCACTCCAAAATCCCACATGTCAGTAGTCAGTCTAATGCCCATCCCTGCCAACCACTAGTTACTAGTTAGCCCGCATCTAATTTCTGCCTCTATGCTTTTGTCTATTCTGGATGTTTTAAATAAGTGAAATCGTAATACACACACATATACATATATACATATATACATACATACATACACACACACACATATATATGTATACACACACACATCTGGTTTTGTCTGGGTACAAGCATATTTTCAAGGGCCAGCATATTGTAGGATGTCAGCAATTCATTCCTTTTTTAGGGCTAAATTCTATTCCACTACATGCCTATACCACATTTTATCTTCTCATTTATCAGTTCACACACATTTGGGTTTGTTTGGTTGTTTTGTTTGTTTTTTGACTGTTACGAGTAAGGCAGCTATGAGTATTCAAGTTTCTGTGTTAACATGTTTTCAATTCTCTTGTATATACAACTGGGAGTAGAATTATTGGGTGACATGGTAACCCTTTAATTTGGGGGCTACCCCCAAAATGTTTTCCATAGTAGTTACACCATTTTACATTCCCACCAGCAGTATAAGAAGGGTTCTATCACGGGGTCATTTTAACCTGCTCCAGGTCTGTTGCTAACCAATCATATGCACTGAAGGCCAAGATGTGTGATTTGTGTCTGTTACCCTTAGGAATTCCTCAGCTTGGACAATGGCCACACTAGAAAAAATAAGAATGTGGTGCAGAGATGATGAAAAACATTTTCCACTTCTGTTGTGAGCTCACATTCAAAAGTAGACTTGTAGCCATTCGTCCATCAGTAAAGGCAGAGGAGTGGAATGACGCTTGGTGACAAACTGGACTTGTTAGAAGGAGAAGAGTCCTTCTAATGCAAGTCCTTCACAATGCAAGGTGCTGGGCAAGACAGCAGAACTAGGATAAGCTGGAGCTGCAGAGATGCGAGCCTGCCCTAGACAAAGAGTCTGGGCAGCCCCCAACTCCAGGTTCAATTTGGACTGAGTTCTGCCCCACAGATGCCTGCAGCTTCACGACAGCTATACTGAGCTGAGGTCAAATGGGGCAGAGACCAGTTAGTTAGTCGTTGGCCAAGTGTGGTTTCCCTGCCTCCTGGACACTCAGGCTGGCATCCTGGCAGTTAACTGTGGTCAGACAATTGAGTTCTGGCCAATGAAGGTCGGTAGAAGTTATGTGCCTCTTCCAGACCTTTATAAACTTCCCATGTGATCCTTCAGTCTGTCTCTCCCTCTATGCTAACCGAAGGGAGAGGATTCTGAGGATTCTGACCAGGCTGTCTGGGTTCCTGAATGACCACCGGGAATGCCTTGGTAACAGGGACATGCATCTCCACTGGACTACAGCAAGTGACAACCAGACTTAGATTTCAGTGAACGGGGGTTTGGGATTTGTTGCAACAGCCAACATTCTACATTCGAACTAACATACCAACTTTTCAGAGAGTCTGGGAAATAGGATGGAACTGGGCTGCAGCACTGGGGCAGAAACTTATGGACAAAGGCCTTATATGCCGGTGAGTCTGGAACCAGGCCTAGCAGAGGAAACAACGTCCGCGGAGGCAAGCGGTCATGTCAAGGACTCCCAGACCATGCTTGTAAACTCAAGCGAAGATCAACACTCCTTCCCACCACACAGCCCTGGAGATGGCCTCATGAAGGAGAAAGTCTCTAGATATCCACCAAAGTCCAGAGGTCCAGCGCCCATGCCACTGGGGCACACTCACCGATGCTGTCCACCCATGTGATCACCTCATCCTTGCACAGGTTTTGGCAGGTCTGGTTGTCAGCTGGGCTCCCTGAGTGAAGCAGCAAGCACTCCACACAATCTCTGTGGGAAAGAAGCAGACATGCGTGTGCTCGGTGCTGTGCAACAGCTCCAGGCAGGCACTGGGCTCCCTGCAGCACAGACTCCAGCCCTCTGGAAGCCCCTGAAGCCTTTGACCTCTTCCCAAGTCCAGATGTTTGGCATCAGAGCAAACTGGAGCAGCCAGGTGTCTGTTCTGCCTTGCTTGCTGCGCTGTGTGGGGAGGCCCAGGGCTCCTGGGAAAACAGTCCGTTTAAAGGCAGGTAGGGTCTAGGTGTCAAGTTGCAGGTTAGAGAGCTTTCAAATTCTGACACCAGGAGCTAAATCCAAGGGTGCTTTGGTGCTTCAAATGTCCAGCTGAGAGGTCTGCATTCAGCTAGAAGACTCTCAAAGATGAGAACTATGCTCCCAGCCTTGGGGCCCTCATATCTCTATAGTGAGGGCTTGACATGACACACCCAAATTATTCCATTTCCCAGATTCCCATCAGGGCCCATCGCCAGGACAGGGCTCTCAACCCCCTTGCACATTAGACTGACCAGGGGGCTTTGAGACAAAACACCACCACCAACCCATGGAAACGCAATCTCCGTCTGGTGCTGGGTTCTCTGGGATTCTGACTAACAGCGAGGGCCAGGGGCCACTGGGCAGGGCCCTCTCAGAGCCTAGACCTCCTGACCTCCCAGAGAGTTCACTTGGGACATAAGCCAAGGTACCTTGCTATTTTTTTTTTTTTTAACTTGGTCTATACAGATTTCCCCCACACTCTAAAAGAAAAATGTTCCTATTTGGTATGATTTGGTTATTTCTGGGGTCGGGGAATGCCCATTTTTTCACCTATACTATTGACAATAACATTCCTAGACCCAGAAAATAACCTACCAAATCATACCAAATAGGGACATTCTATTTTCAGATAGCTGGGAGCACTACTTGAAATAGTGTTCTTCAAATAATGTTTTAATAAAGGATGAAAAAAGAAACATTCTGCTTGACATGGAAGAAAATGATGTATTCACGGACCTGCTTCGTGCCGTTTAAAACCAGTTTCCAAGACTCTCTCAATGACATTAATAAACTATACTCAATTTGGGGAGAGGCCAGAGGGTGGCGGCCCCCTCCTGGGGAACCCACTCAGCAGTGCCTCCTGCAGAAAACGAGTCAGGAACTAAAAAGACATTTTGTGCCCTTCCCCTAACCCAGGCCAACAGCTTAAATCAGGTATTGTGTGAACAAGCTCAAAGGTCAACTAAACATTGATACTGTAATCAAAGCCCAGTACAGGGAGTGGAGCAGCTACCTCAGGCTTTTCCCACCCTCCTGCCCGGGCCTTACCGCCGACACCTGAGTTCTTGTATTGATCCCAAGCGCACACACCTGTGACTGTGGCACCTGAGCCCAGACAGCATGGAGTGCGCCTCTGTGAATGCGGACCCGTGGGCCTAGAGGGGAGGCCTAGGGGGCTCCCCGGCTCTGGTGCTCACAGCGGCTGGTCTTTCCCGATTCAGCATTAAAGGCTTATAAAATCTGCCAAAGGTGCCCACATTTTTTTTTGCCTGTGAGAACTGACAGTGAACCTACCCCGCCTAGGACAGGCGCACAGCACCCACTTTCAGACAGTCTCCCTCCCTCATCTCCGGTAGGTCCAGCGAGGGGAGTAAGACTCCAAAGGACACGGGCCGGAGAAGCCGAGCTCTCAGTGTGTAAAGCGTGTGGCGGGGACGAAGAGAGCTGCTGACAGTCCCCTTTGGGGACTGTGGGATGGGGAATGAAGCAGACCATGAGAGCCAGCCCCAGGAAGAGGTGGGTGGGGGCAAAATAATCCAGCTGTCAGGGCACTTCCACCTTTGATTCTGTGAGGGTTGGGCTCAGGGGCCTTCTAGGTGAGCTGGGAAGACTGCTGCCTGCTGCCAGCTGTGCCGGGCACCACGGCGCAGGGGTGGCCTCACAGAGCTGCACGGAGGCAGCTGCCCGCGCCCCCTGGAACCACAGGGACTGAGTCAACACAGTTCTTTGGCAAAGCAGTAGCGGGCTGACCAGTGGTGGTACCTCCTCCCGTCATCCATGTATTTCCTCGGCACAAAGAGGCCACTTACTGTAACATTTCTCTACAGAAACTTCAGACTTGAATGCCAGCTCTGGAAGGGAGCTGGGAAAAGTGTTCCTTTAGTCTCCCTTGTTTCAGGTGAGGCAAATAAGGCCAAAGAGAAGTGGGCCTGGCCCCCAGGTGAGCCACCGCTCAGATGAGCCCAGCCGACGTCCTGCCTCCGCTTTATGAACAGAGGAGGAGCCAGTAAGGAAGCTGTGAAGAGAACTGGAGGTGACATCCAGAGGAGGGTTCTAATATATTCAAGGATCCCGAAATGGGCTGCTAAATCCCACCCTCCTAGGAATGACTTCATGGAAACATTCTGGAGTTACAAACAAGTTGTAATGGTTGCATTTCCCTTGCGCTCAAAGCCCAGCTCAGGGCTGGCAAAGATACTTGGCTGGGGGCCAGGAAGGTGTGGCTCCCCCTCTGGTCACTCAGCTGACCCGGCCAGCCCCTCCGCTCAGGATTAGCACATCACAAAGTCAGGCGGCTGCTTTCAGTCTCCCCTGGGACCAGCTCGGGCTCCATCTGTGCTCTCCACCTGCACCCACTGTGGCCGTTACACCACCGGTCACTTCGAGGACACGTTCCCAGTTAGGCACGAGGACATCCGTCTGACCCGTGTGTGCCACGTTCTGGGTTAAAGCTTGCGAAGTGCCATGACGATACATCAGGCCTTTCAAATGAACAACGGCCGAGAGCCTCTGCGCAGAGCCCATTAATTGAAATCAGCTGAGGCTAAGTGTGAACTCGGCCGGTGTGAAAGGCGTGTTTGGTTAGTTCTTGTAAGTGGAGACTGGCTGCTCAGAAACCCAGGAAAAAGAAAGAACATAAAACATTCAAAATCTGGCGACTTTCAGCAAATAGAAAAATAACCTGATAGAAGTCACCATCAAAAGGAATTTTTTAAAAGTGCAACTAGGCTGGGCTGGGGCAGTGAGACAGGGTGGTGGGGCTCCCTCCTGGCACCTCTGCTCGCTCTGCTCTCCTGGTATTGCTTGATGGATTAAAGCCTTTCAGGTGTGCATCTTTTTTTTTTTTTTAAGATTTATTTATTTTATTCATACAGAACTGGGGGCAGGCCAGAGATGCAGAGGGTGAGAGAATTCACCAGGGACAGAGTGGGGAGCAGAACAGGCAGATCAATGAAGTACACTGCTGAGGGGAGCAGCGGGCGGGTCAGGAGAGGTCTGCCTCGCCATGTGGTCACCTCCGGGGCAGGTGGGAATCGAACTCATGCGGAAGAGGCTTGAGCTTCTTAGTGCTGTGCTTTAACCCGCTGCGCCACCAGGGAGGGCCCAGGTGTGCATCTTTTAGGACATGAATCCTCTTAGCATTCAAAGCCAGGGTGGCGGGCCCAGAGGCTCTTCCAACTGCCCTAAGTCCCTGCAGTAGGGCTCTGGCTACAGAAAGGGGGAGCAGAGGGTTTTATCTACTTGGATCAGCCCCAAGTGTGCTGTCCTGCTTGGTCCTCACCCCCTGTTCGCTCACTCCCCACGGACTGGGAGCTTATCCTCAAAGGGTTCTTAGTGGGAGCTGGGGATGGCCAGAGCAGCTGGACACTCCAGCTATGTGGGCTTCAGCTCCAGAGTCCTAACTCCTCCCCTGGGTGTTTCTCCTTGCATCTCTGTTTCTCCACACTTAGCAGGCCTCAAGGGGACCTGTTTTTCTTCTCCTTTACTCTCTGCAGCTCCCCTTCAATTAAAGTAAAATCTGGCCCCGTCTATCTCGTCTCTTGGCTGCAGCCAGCTTTCTTAGCCGCGCCTGGATTGTCAGTGGCACATGTCCAACTGGGGGCCCTGCCACCCAGAACATTTCTGAGCACGGACTGACCAGCAGCCAGGGCAGGCCCAGGGAGCATGCACTCATTTCATTATCAGCCCGAGCCAGACATTTGCAGGGGAAATCTGCCAAAAGCAAGTCGAACAGTTGCCTGCCCCAGCCAAAAGAAGCCCGCCGCCCATCTTCCTACTTGTTTCTGATGCTCCTGTCCCGGCTCCTCGCTCCCATTCTGAGCAGGGATGATGGAGACTCAGCGGCTTCTCTAGCAAAAGTCAAGACACTGGCCCTCTTGCTGTCCTTCCAACGTAACTCATATTTCTTTAATTCCCTCACATCCACACTCGGGGAGAGCGTAACAGGCAGAGCCGTGAGGAGGTTGCACAAGGAACACGAGCTGGGCTGAGTTCTTAAGGGCGGGAGCCCAAGTCTAGACAACCTCTGGGCTCAGCGGCAGCCAGAGCAGGCGTCCCATCGTCTTCCCAAATGGAGCAGAAAATGCAGAAGCCACTGCAGTTTGGGGCCGCCTTATCTAGGTCGGGGCCTTCCTATCCCATTTTCCTTCTGATTAGGTTTTGCTTAAAGCAGCATTTTCCTCACAGGTGTTTGTGAAACAGTACATGGGAGGCATTCGTGGGGAAGGAATAGCAAAAGGAAAGATGTCCACTGGCCCCCTTTGACATGAAGACTGAGAGGGTGCTACTTTGGTACCAACACCAAATTAATTCATTTCATTTCACTTATTAATTGATAATTTCTAAACCTGTCTAGAAGAGAACAGTGGTTTGTTCTGTTTGGTTTGGTTTGGTCTGGTTCTATTTTCCCACAAAATCCCTACAGAAGCAGAATTTGGAGACACTATTGGTTAATGTTAGTAAGAGATCTGTTACCCAGCAAGGCCGGGTGGGGGAAGATGTGCAGGGACGCAGGCGGGCCCTGAGCCTGAGTGGCTGGCAGGCAGGCGGGTCCAGAGGAGCGAGGGTGGGTGGGTGCCATTACCTCTTGGTGCTGCAAGCATCTGGGCAGGTTGGGCACTTCTCACATGTCTCCCCAAAGGCTCCTGGCTCTGTGCACTGGCACTGCCCACAGACACAGAGCCCACGGTCACTGCAGATCTGGCCATCCTTGGCCTGGCACGTGCTGATGTCTGTGGAGCAGTTACAGTTGTCCCCGATGTAACCTGCGTGGCACTTGCATTCTCCACAGTGACACTCACCATGACCTAAAAGGGCACACAGAACACATCAGGGCCTGCCCACATCAAAGCAAACAGCCACATGCTCCATCCCTGCGACATGCCCTTGGGGCCCCACGATGTGCCCGTAGAGTCTGTCTGGGAGACAGGGGTGTCATGGAGTGGAGCGGGGGCTGGGCAGCCTGTGTGGCCTGGGTCTGGGATGGGGCCCCAGGTAGGCTCAGAAGTTGGACAAGTCATACACAGGACCAGGACTCTGGAGAGCTTCTTCCTGCCTCCATTGCAGTGTGACTAACGTCCACACCCTATTCTCCAGAACCTGTGAGCTACACCTCGTCTGGCAGAGAAGATAGAGGACGTACTTACAGATCTGGAGACAAAGTGACTGCCCTCGGTCATCCTGAGAGGCCCTAACTACAATCAGGAGGATGCACAAGAGAAGGCAGAGAGAGCAGCTCAAGAAGACAGCAGCAAGGGGAGAGCAGGTGCCAGGTGCTGCCTGCTGCCTCTGAAGGTGGAGGAAGCAGCCATGAGCCAGGGGATGCAAGGAGGGCAGGATAGAAGGTGGAAGAGGCAATGATCCTCCTGAGAGCCTCCCGCGGGAGGGAGCCCTGCTGACACCTTGACGTGAGCCCAGGGAAAATGGTTCCAGACTTCTGCCTTCTAGAACACTGAGTGTGTTGTTTCAAGTCAATAAATGCATGTTAATTTGTTACAAAACAACCAGAAACCGGCACAGTTGCCAATTGTTGTGAGAGGCTGAGCTTGCTCTGGCCTTGGCCCTGTGGTCTGGAGTGGGATGACTTAGCACAGGTGCCCAGAGCCACAGCAGCGGCTACATGGAGCAGAGCTCCTGGGCGTGTCAGCCCATGCCTGCAGAGACTACTGCAGCCTCGCCACAATCCCCGCTGGCCAGTGCTGTTACCCTCATCTCATAAGAACTGAGACTCAGAAAAGTGAGCCTGGCTCCAAGTCCATTGTGTGGGCACCAAGGAGAAAAGAGCAGGCCCTTCGCACAACGGGAACCAGGCGAGGGCCTTCTCCACAGCCTGCAAGGGCGCAGGGAGGCAGCCCCTCGAGCTTCTGCAGGCGAGGGCAGGTGGAATGGCGTGGCTCGGGGGCTTGTGCGTGTCTGCTGCGCAGTGGAAGGCCTGGACGACAACATTTCCCAAGGGGACCGCAGACCTGCAGTGGACACTCGATTCTCTACACTAACTGAGGTGGACAGTGCTACCAGAAATGTGCTTCATTCTTTTTTTTTTTTTTCCCAGCATACCAAATTTCCCTTTTAATTCCCAAATTCTTTTTCTTACGAAATGTGCTTCATTTTTAAGACTTTTCTTTATACTACCACCACTGCAGCATGTTTTTCTCCCTGGTGCCATTGTGCTAAGGCTAATAAGACCAGAATTTATATTTACTATTAGCTGGAGGGTTGGAAGTGGTCAGGCTGGGGGTCTTGGGTTCTTCTCCCTCACCTGTGTCAGTTTTCCTGGTAGTTGGATTCCGGGACCTTCTCTGAGCCCACCAAGGGGTGAGACCCACAGATTAGATCCGGACCCAATGCTTCACCCGCCACTGATCTCCTGGCTCCTCCCTGCTGTCTGCTCTGTAGTGCCCAGAAGCTGCAGGTGGCAGCAAGACCATCTGGAGCAGCCCAGCCTCCCATTCTGGGCAGCTGCCCCGCTCTCCAGGGCCTAAAGCCACTGCAGATCTTGAACTGGGTGCGCCCTCCCATTTCACAGGGAGCCGGAAAGCATATGGCAAGCCTTATGGGAGAGGTGAGGCCAGGGAAGTCTGGGACACGGGGCAGCTGCCAGGAGCTGGCTTTTGAGGCTGGGCCACAGGAGAGCACAGCACCCTGCTCAGGGCTCTGTGATGTGGGGTGGGGAGGCAGCAAATGCAGGAGACCACAGCACTTGGGGAGGGCAGACTGCCGGCCCTCCTCCCAGCCAGTCCACAAACAGACAGGCCGGCAGCCGCCTCGGCAGAAGTCTTCCTGGACGAAATGGATCCAAGCCATACAATGCTGTCGCCTTCCAGCCTCAGGGACCATATTGGTCAGGAGCCTGCTTTAAATTAAAATGGTTCAGATGGTGGTTGCTGCTGGTCCAGTGTTTTATGGTGGTATGACTGATTAATCTCCAGACCTGCGTCAAGCTGAAAGGACCACGCAGTGAACCTGTGGCACTCACTTCCCAGGATCCTCCTTGACACTGTACTCTAAGTCGGTCCTGCCATGGTGAGAGCCGCCACACGAGCTGCTCCTACTTGCTATCTTGGTTTAGAGCTTCCAAGTCTCCTTCATAAAGTGTGACCCCAAACAGGTCTCCAAAATGGCAA